AGGCTCACGGGTTCGACTCCTGGTCAGGACAATTCCCGGTCAGGCAGAACCTATTGATGTTTTTCTTTCCCTCCTCCTTCCTCTCTCTCCAAAATCAGTAGAAAGTATATCCTTGGATGAAGATAAAATATTTTTTTATTTTAACTTTAGGACCAGGTAGCTTCACTGGCAAATACTACCATTTAAAGAAGAATTAGTACAAATTATTCTCCAACTTTTCTCAAAAATAGAAGAGGAGGGTACACTTCTTCCACATTCATTTTGCAAGACCAGTATTACCCTGATACCAAAGTCAGAGAAGGACACTACAAGAAAAGAATATTATAGCCTAATATTCCCAATGAAGAAAGATGCAGATATCTTCAGCAAAATAGTAGCAATCTGGATTTAATAGTATTAAAAGGATCATACACCATGATTAAGTGGGATTTATTCCTGGGATACAAAGATGGTTCAACATATGCAGATCATTAAATGTGATAAACCACATTAACAAAATGAAGGGTAAAAATCATATAATCATCTCAATAGATATAGATGCAGAAAAGCATTTGACAACATCCAACATCCATTTATGGTAAAAACTCAACAAACTAGGGGATAGAGGAAACATACTGTAACATAATAAAAACCATATATAACAGCCCCACATCTGACATATAATACATGAAAAGCTGAAAAGTTTTACTCTAAGATCAGAAACAAGACAAGGATGACTACTCTTGCCACTTTTATTTAAAAAAGTACTGTAAATCCTAGCCAGAATAATTAGGCAAGAAAAAGAAATGAGGCATCCAAATTGGAAAGGAAGAAGTAAGATTATTACTTTTTTTTTTTTTTTACAGGTGAAATAATATTATACATAGAAAATCCTAAAGACTTTGCAACACACACCTGTTAAAACTAATCCATGACTTTAGGAAAGTTGCAGGATACAAAATCAATATATAAAAGTTGTATTTCTATACACTAAAGCATTGGAAAGAAAATTAAGAAAATTTCTTTTATAAAGAGACAAAGGATAAGATATTTAGGAATAAACTTTACCATGCAAGTGAAAGATCTATACATTGAAAACTGTAAGGCATTGATGGAAGAAATTGAAGAAGACAGATAAATGGAAATATACTGTGTTCATGGATTGAAATAATATTATTAAAATGTTCATACCACCCAAAGCAATCTCTAGATCCACCACAATCCCTATCAAAATTCCAGTGGCATTTTTCACAGAAATAGAACATTTATGGAGCCACAGAAGTCCCCATATAGCCAAATCAATCTTGAGAAAGATCAAAACTAGAGGCATTACACTTCCTGAATTCAAACTATATTACAATGTGATAGTATTCAAAACAACTTGGTAGTGTCATAAAAATGGACAACATAAATCAATATAACAGAATAGAGAGCCCAGAAATAAGTCTCTGTATGTATGGTCAATTTCTGACAAAGGAGCTGAAACTGGTTTGGCTTAGTGGATAGAGCGTCGGCCTGGGGACTGAAAGGTCCCGGGTTCGATTCTGGTCAAGGGCATGTACCTTGGTTGCAGGCACATCCCCAGAGTGGGGGGGGGGGGGGGTGCGAGAGGCAGCTGATCAATGATTCTCTCTCATTGATGTTTCTAACTCTCTATCCCTCTCTCTTCCTCTCTGTAAAATATCAATAAAATATATTTTTAAAAAATTCTGACAAAGGAGCTAAGACTATACAGGGAGAAAAGGATAGTCTCTTCAATAAGTGATGTTGAGAAGAATGGATATTCACATGTGAAAGAATGAAATTGAACTATCTTACTTTATATACAAAAATTAGCTCAAAATGGATTAAAAACTTAAACTTAAAGACCTTAAACTAAATTCCTAAAAAACAAAAATCCAAAAACCAGTGGGTAAGCTCTTGGCATTGATGTTTTGAGTTTGACACCAAGAGCAGAGGTAACAAATTCAAAATAAACAAGTGAGAATACAGTAAACTGAAATGCTTCACAGCAAATGAAGCCATCAACAAAGCAAAAAAGCAATAATAGGAGAAAATATTTGCAAACCACATATCTGATAAGGGGTTACTATAAAAAATATACAAGAAGCTCATGTAACTCAGCAAAGCAAACAAACGAACAAAAAACAACAGGTAACCCAGTTAAAAAATGAGCAAGGGACCTGAATCAACATTTTTCCAAAGACATACAAATGACCAACAAGTACATGAAAAGTTGTTCAATATCACTAATACTTAGGAAAATACAATCAAAATCACAATGAGATACCACCTCACACATTAAGAAGACTATTAAAAACAAAACAAAAAAACAAAATACCATACCAATAACCAAGTATTGGGAAGATGTGGAGAAAAGGTGATATTTGTACACTGTTGGTGGGAATGTAAACTGGTAGAGCCACTATGGAAAACAATATGGAGGTTCCTCAAGAAATTAAAAACAGAACCACCATATGATCCAAAAATTCCACTTCTGTGTAAATATCCAAAAGAAACAAATCCTTGTCTCAGATATCTGTAGTATGTGATGTTGGTTGCAGCCAAAGTACAGACACTTAAGTGTGTATCAATAGATGAATAGATAAAGGCATTTTTTTACACACAGGAATATTATACACTAGAAAAATAAGAAAATCCTGTTATTTGCAACAACATGGATGAACTTCGAGGCATTATGCTAAGTGAAATAAGCTGGACAGACAGACAAATATTGCATGGTATCACTTATATGTAGAATCTAAAAAAAAAAAATTGAATACAAACAGAGTAGAAAAGTGGTTGCCAGGGACTTTGGGGAGAGGGGCTAGGGTAGATAAGGAGAGGATGGAAAAGGGTGCAAACTTTCAAGTATAAGATAGGGATAGGTCTGAAGATCTAGTGTATAACATTATGACAGTGATTGATAATATAGGATGTCCCCAAAAATGTATATGTATACATTGTTTGACAGCTCAATTGATGTTTCTTTTTTTTCTTTCATATTTAACCCATTGGAATTAATAATTATTTAAAGTATGCATACATTTTTTGGAGCACCTGTATACTATATTGCATAATTGAAATTTGATAAGAGAGTAGAACTTGTGATCTCCTAAAAAAATAAATATATGAGGTGATGGATGTGTTAGTTAATTTGGGAATCCTTTCACATTGTGCAAATATATATGAAATCACCAAATTATACAGTTTAAAGACAATTTTATTTGTCAATTACACCTTAATAAAGTGGGAATTTTTTTTTTAAAAAGTAGAGGGGAGAGAAAACTTTGTCAAATCATGCTGGTTATTTATTATCACACTGTTTCTCTTTCATATTTGTTTACCAGTTGAATTTTAGTTTCCCCACTTCTATTGCTATTTTTAAGAAATTAAAATAGATATTAAAATATTTGGATGTTTTTTCTCAATGCTATTTAATTTTTTAAAGTTAAGACTATTGAAAGATTTAGTAGGTTTTATATACTTGTTGCTAGTCTTTCAACCTAAGAAAAACTATTTTTGAAACTTGTTTTAATGTTAAATTCATATACATAAAGATATCTAAAACAAATGTGTAGGACAAATACCTGCTAAGGTAACTTTAATGACTTTGAATTATTGAGATACTGCAAGTGCGTATGAAAATATTTAAATAAATTAGTAAAATGGTGTGACTTCAACAAAGACTATTTTAAATGTCAGAAAAAGGTAAGGCAACATTTGTAGGCTTTTATAAATAAATGAAAATGGCAATATTTAATTTTATGTAAAAATAATATTTTAGTACTTAGATATGAATATTATTTCCATAGTTGTAAATTGTGTGAAGATGGCATTCAATAGCACCATTATTATGTTGTGTGTAACAGATTTATTTGGATTATAGTGCAGGTCCTTAGGGCAGAAATGTTGAGTTTTTGATTTTTGTATAGAACTAAAGGTACTGCTGCCACATTTTATTGTTTCTATGGATATCACTTGTCACAAAATTTGGCTATTCAATAGTTCAAAAGTTCATAGATCTTCTGGATTGTTTTATAGTTTATGAGTAAATGCCCAAAGCTGGATGGAGTGATAGCTGAACACAGGTCATGTGCTTTGTTATTCATAACTTTCATGTTAGAACTACAATGGATCCCTGGACAATGGGGAACTAAGGCACCAATCTCCATGCAATTGAAAATCCATATACAGCTTTTTACTTCCCCGAAACTTCAGTCTTCCCTCAGTAATCAAGGAGGATTAGTTCCAAGGCCCCTGCCAATATAAAATTTCAAGAATGCTCAAGTCCCTTATATAAAATGGTGTAGAACAATGCGTACAGTTGGCCCTCCACATCCATGGATTCCCAAACACAGATCTGTGGTTGGTTGAATTCCCCAATGTAAAACCTGGGGATACAGAGGACTGACAATATATTTATTGAAAAAATTTGCATATAAGTGGACCCACGCAGTTCAAACCCACATTGTTCCATGGTCAACTGTACTTACCAGAGTTTCTCACTAAATTGTTTTTTTTTAAATTGTTTGAAAAATGGTCTCTAATTTATTGAGATTGGGGGTGGGGAGGGGTGGGCTGACTTTGATTGCAACATTTAGAAATTGAAAAACTTAAAATGAATCTAAACTTATAATTCAGAAAGTACTGTTGGATGACAGGAATGCCTCCAAGCAGGAGAGAATAGATTATTACTTATTTTAAAGACTTAAATGGAAATATACTCAACTTGTTTTTAGTGATGAAAACCTTTTAAATAAATGAAGATCCCCCCCCCCCCCTTTCCGTTTTCTTTATTGCCATGCTGTGATCCCTTTTTCCTGAGTAGTAATAGGTAGTCCATTTTCAGGAAAATTGGCTTTCCAAAAGAAAGTAAAAGTGCTATAAACTCAGCTGGACATTGCTCATTCTGTAGTGAGCGCATGCAGCCAAAGGATGTCTGCGCTTCCATCCCAAAGCACACGCCCGGGTTGTACTTGAAACCACTCTGACGCCCTATTTCTCACTTTCTGCTCCAGGAGCTACAATTGGAACATGCAAGACAAGCCTTTGCACTGAAAGACAAAAGCAAAAGCGGCACGATTTCTGGTCTGGATTTCAGTGACATCATGGTTACCATTCGGTCTCACATGCTTACTCCCTTTGTGGAGGAGAACTTAGTTTCAGTAAGTAAAAGCAAATACTTCAACTTTCTAATTCCTTAAACCTTTTGAATCACTGGGTCCTGGATTGCCTCCCTGGAATCACCTGACTCAACTGTTCTAATTTTATTTGGTTGGTAGGAGGTAAACAGGTAGGAGTGATGATGAATAGTCTTTCCCAGATCATAGCAGAGCCACCATCTTGTTCTCAGATATTCCAAATTGTTTATTTCCGTTTAATTAGTCCAACTACAGAATACAAGGAAGCTCGTAGACAGGGATGTGCAATTACTTTTTCCAGTGGGCAGTACCTCTCCTTTTTCCATCCCCCAGACTCTCAAAGCCTTGCTGTAAGGATGGCTCCTTCCTTTGTTGCCTGCAGGGTGCTGTTTGCTAGAGGGATCATCAATTGGCCTCTGCTCTGTTTTAACAACCATGGCCATGGCGGAAGGTATGGGAGAAATATGTGGGTGTCAGCCTCTGTGGCTCACTCCTCTCTGACCCTTCACCTGTGCGTCAGTCTGCATGGACCAGACAGTTTTTTGTTCCATAAAAACTGCTAATCTCCATAAAGTAATCATCTGGGCCAATAGCACACTGATGTCATCCACTTCCTCACAGGGAATGGTGAAACTTTACTCACTTCCCAGTTGTCTTGTTCATGCTTTGTACTTATGTATAGGTTTTGGATTGCTGCTTGTTTTTAATGGAGGGAAGCCAATGAATGCTTTTGTTGTTTCAGCTGAAGATCATTATCCCTGATTTAGACTGGGGTAGAAAGATCAACTTCTGTTCTTTTTCTTCAGTGAATTTGAACATGGAGCATGTCACTTTCTCCTGCACATTTCACCTCCTTGACACCCATCTCCCACTCCCTTAACCTCACCTCAAACCCTGGTCAAAAAATGAAAGGAAAGAAGGAAAAAAAGTGAGAGGGAGGAAAGAAGGGGGGAAGGAGAGAAAATCCTATAGAGAACCACAGTGAAGGAACCCACTTAATCTTGTCCATTTAGGTTAATGTGTTAAATAATTTGCTTTTGTATCACTGGTATCCAAATTCAGATGAATACAAATATCTATATTTGGGTTAAGGCATGTATAAGTATGAGGGATGGTAAGGTTGCCACTCTGGTATTTCCATAAGTATTTATTTGAATTTTTAATAGACAATGTTTTCAATCATATGGGTTCCTGTGATTCCTGGCTTGGAAATTAGGCTTTGCAAACTATAAAAATATTCATTTTTTAGTTTATGGCCAAATAGAAGGGCAGAAGGAGAAATTGCCTCCTCACCCTGCAGAGGTAACGAAGGCCACACTGTCTTCATCCCTCCCCAGCACGAGAGCCTTTTTAAAGCTCTTCCATTAAAGATATAATTTATGGCAAATAAATATTGTCTAGATCTTCTCTGCATTTTTTGGAGTTTTGGGTAGTTGTATCTTTCATGATATATTGTAGATTTAGAGCCCAGCACACACTGTGAAGTACCTTAACTATAACAGTGGGCTTAAAAAAGAGACTAGGAAAGTTGATACAGTTTTAAAATTTTAAGTTACTGTTTTTTCTGTGTGTGTGTGTGAGGGGAGGGGGGAATCAAGTTTTAAAAATGCTCCTTTATAGTGTAATATTGATGTTTGGATTACCCAGAACTAGCAGGAGTTTCATAGTTGAGGGTCTTGAAAAATCCTGTTTAAATAACTATTGTTTTTGATCTGCGATAATTATATTTGTTGTTTCTGACCTTATAGGTAGATGAACCATGAAGTCCAACTTCCAGATGTTGCCTTCTTCCTTAAAACCTAAATTACATAGACCTCCCTGAGGGCATGAAAGGCACTGAGTGTTTTAGTACGATATTTCCTTGTATTTATGGACTGGTTGATAATCATTTTAATAAGGAAGACTCCTTTGGATATTCTTTAGAGAAAAGTACGGTGTCCATAAACATGTTGTTTTGTTTTTGTTTTTTAACTTTTCGTGTTGTGATTTTTCTAGGCAGCTGGAGGAAGTATCTCACACCAAGTTAGCTTCTCCTACTTCAATGCATTTAACTCCTTGCTGAATAACATGGAGCTTGTTCGTAAGATATATAGCATTCTAGCGGGCACAAGGAAAGATGTGGAAGTCACAAAGGGTAAGACTTCAAATGTACATATTGATTTGAATCTCAGCATTTTCACTTTTTTTATTTAGGGCATGAGGTTGATCTAAGTTACCATTCTGAAGTCAGATCTAGAAAGTGCCATGGGTGTATGCTTCAGTTGGGCCATAATGGTCTCCAAAAATCCAGGTGGATTTAATGGGATGCTGAGGTCAGGAATGGAAAAGTGGCTTTGACAGTTTTGAAAAGAACCTTGGCCCAGTTGTCAAACAGGTCAGTGGCACTGTGGCAGCAGCTTGTTTGTACTAGGAAGGAGTTGCCACAGAGAGAAGGGCAAGCCTACGCCTTTTGCTGAGTGGTAGTAGGGTGTTTTAGGTGACTGGAGAACAGCCAGTTCTTTTATTTTGTAACTCTAAAGACCAAGGTGAATAAACAAGATAAAAAGATTTTAAATAGATTGTTTTATCTTTGAAGTTAATTTATCTTTGTTTGTTTTTGCTATTTCATAATTATCTAATTTTCTTTTGCTAGCTTTCAGAATTTTGTAGTTATTCTTATACTAAAGGCCTGGCGCACAAGATTCGTGCACTTGCGGGTGGGGGTGGAGGTGGGGGTTTCTTAGCCTAGCCTGCAGCCTCTCGTAGTCCAGGAGCCCTCAGGGGATGTACATCCTTAGTGCTGCTAGAGGCAGGAGAGGCTCCTGCCACCACCGCTGCACTCCCGGCTTGGTTGTTCCACTGTTTGGTCAATTTGCATATTAGCCTTTTATTATATAGGACTAGAGGCCTAGTGAATGAACTTTGTGCACTGGGGGGAGCGGGGAGGAGGGAGAGTATCCTTCAGCCCAGCCTACACCCTCTCTAATCTGGGACCCCCTCAGGATTGGGCCTAAACAGGCCGTCAGACATTCATCTCACAATCTGGGGCTGCTGGCTCCTAACCACTGCCTGATTGCCCCTAACTGCTTCTGCCTGCTAACCTGATCAACCCCTAACTGCTCCCCTACCGGCCTGATCATCCTCAACTGCCCTCCCTTGCAGACCTGGTCGCTCCCTACTGCCCTCCCCTTGAGGCGGCCATCTTGTGAAAACATGGGGGTGACCACCTTGTGATGATGTGAGGGTGAGATGCCACCTAGGCTTTATTTGTATAGATAGTTGAATTTGGGAATTTTTAAAATAATACTAAAATGCCTTTAGCTACAGATTATAAATGGTTAAGGTAGAAGTTTGTTGTATTTAAGAATCTTTTAAGGTTTGAAAATATTTTTTTTCTTCTAGAGGAGTTTTCCCAGAATGCAATACGCTATGGACAAGTCACCCCACTAGAAATTGATATCCTATACCAACTTGCAGACTTATATAATGCTACAGGGTAACTATTCCTATAATTCTTCATGATATTTATTAACACGACAGTTCTTTTAACATGTGAAGCAGTGTTGTGCTTTCTGTTTATTTAAACAATAGTTTATTCAGTATATAAATTCCAAGAAAGAGAGACAGTCAGATATTAGAAATGGAATGAGGGAGAGACAGAGGAAGACAAGTCAAAGGTAAGGGCAGATGGAAGGAGGGAAAGGAAGAGAGAACAAGAGAGGAAGAGAAGAAAGAAGAGAGGAAAAAAGGGGAGAACAGAGATGGGAAAAAGTGAGGTAAGAGAAGGGAGTAAGGGGTTGTTGATGGGCATGACAAAGAGAAATAGGGGAAAGAAGAAAAATGAGAGAGAAGGGGATGGAAGTGAGAAGAGAGGAATGGAAAAAATTAGTTTAACCTTGACTCTCTGGAGGTGTTAGGAATTTTAAGAGACTTGTGTAAATTTTCCTGAATTAATAAACTGAGATACATGTTTAGGAATCTTATAATATTTGGATTCATTATGAATGGCCATTTTGATAAACAGTGTATACCATTTTGTATTGGAGAGTATTGTTTTCTTAAATATGCCTGTGACTTTGTTATCATATTTACCATCACAGATAAGCTCAGATGCTTTGTCTTTTTTTTTTTTTTTATTTTTTTTTTATTTTTTATAAGTTTTTATTGTTCATATTATTACAAATGTTCCTTCCCCCCCCCCACCATTGCTCTCCTCCACCAGGTTCCCACCCCACCCTCTGCCCTTTCCCCTCTCCCCATTGTCCTCATCCATATGTGCACAGTTTATGTTCAGTCTCTTCCCACGCCCCCCTCTCCCCTTTTCCCCAAGAATTGTCAGTTCACTCCCCTTCCATACCTCTGATTCTATTATATTCAACAGTTAATATTGTTCATCAGATTTTTTTAATTTCCTTGGTTTTTAGATTCACTTGTTGATAGTTACGTATTTGTTGTTCATAATTTTTATCTTTGTTTACTTTATCTTCTGAAAGAACCCCCTTCAGCAATTCATATAAATCTGGTTTGGCGGTGATGAACTCCTTTAGCTTTTTTTTATTAGTGAAGCTCTTTATCTGGCCTTCGATTCTGAGTGATAGCTTTGCTGGATAGATTATCTTTGGCTGTAGGTTCTTGCTATTCATCACCTTGAATATTTCTTGCCATTCCCTTCTGGCCTGCATGGTTTCTGTTGAGAAGTCAGCTGACAATCGTATAGGTGCTCCTTTATAGATTACTACCTTCTTTGCTCTTGCTTCTTTTAATATTCTCTCTTTGTCTTTTGCTCTTGGAATTTTAATAATGATGTGTCTCGGTGTGGTCCTCTTTGGATTCCTTTTGTTTGGAGTTCTATGCGCTTCCTGGACTTGTAAGTCTAATTCTTTCCCCAGGTGGGGGAAGTTTTCTGTCACTATTTCTTTCAGTATGTTTTCGATATCTTGCCCTCTCTCATCTTCTGGGACCCCAATAATTCTGATGTTGGTTCGCTTGAAGTTGTCCCAGAGGTTTCTTACATTATCTTCAATTTTCTGGATTCTCTTGCCTTCTAGCTTCTGTGGAGGAGTGTCTTCTGGCTCTTTATGTTCCAAATCTTTGACTTGATTCTTGTGATCTTCCCTTCTGTTTTTAGGACTCTGTAAAATATTTTTTATTTCAGACAATGTATTCTTTATGTCTTGTTGATCCCTTATTAATTCTAGTTGATCTCTTTTCATATCCTCATAGGCCTTATCCATCTTTTCTAGGAAATTCTTGAAAAACCTTATAAGCGTAGATTTGAACTCTATATCCAGACGCTTTTTGTCCTCCATTTCTTTCGTTTGTGATCTATTTTGTTGTCGCATTTCGCAGTTACAGATGGGACGGGGTTTCAGGGTGGAGCCTGCAGCTTTGGCTTCCGTCAGCCCCGCCCTATGCGGGTCCTTCAGAGCTCACTGCCGGCGCCTCTGAGAGAAAGGTGCCCTCGATTTTCGCCTGCTGCCAAACAGTCTATGCTCTCCCACAATGAGCCCGGTATTGGGGTTCAGTTCAGTTGGAAGTGGAGTTGGAGGTGGCGTTCAGAGCAGTCTGGAGCCCCAGTCTCCTTCCCGTCAGGGCAAGCCCGCGGCACAGCCGAATGTCCCTTCTCTGCGCGCAGTGTGCGCACCGCTGGGACCTCCTTTCGCCACTTCCCCGGGGTTCCACCTTACAGCCCGGCTCCCTATGGCTGAGCCTGAGTCCCCGGGGTCTGGCTTAAAACTGGGGATCAGAGCAGTCGGGGGCCCAGCACAGTCGGAGCTTTATCTCCTTTCCGCTAGGGAACGCCCGCCAGGCACTCGGCCTTCCTCCTCTCCGGCTCTGTCCTCTCTGCGCACCGCGTCTCCGCGTCTCCGTACCTTGGCTTTTCCAGCTCCTCCGCACCTCCTTCTGGTTTTCTCCTTGCTTCTCACTGTAGAATTTCCAGTCAGTCAACCTTCCTGTAGTTCTGGGCAATGTCCGTTTTATATTTTAGTTGTATTTTATTGAAATTGTTGTGTGCGGCTGCGGCTAGGTGTTCACCTGGGCGCAGCCATCTTGGATCTCTTCCTTTGTCTTTTTTTTATAGACTAAAAATCCCCAAAGTATATAGAGAATATTTAATTTGCAATCTTATGCAAATCCAAAAGAAAAACTCTTATCTATGGGTACCCAGCAGGACCTGTGGAAAAGGGCTCTTATTATCTATTAAGTGATCAGATCTTTTCTTAGTTGCCTCTTGTAGTTAAGTATAGGAACATCTGAAAAATGGCCTTTAATCCTACAACAGAGGAGTAATATAAGTTGAGTGTACATGGCTAACTCATTGCTTTCATGCTACATAATGAATTGCTGAGCTAGAGATGATGCTAAATATATTAACCAGTCTTTGGGATTGACATAAAATATCAGACCATGTCTCATTCATTTAGAATTCGCATTATTAGCAAAGGTTTTAAGTCTCCTACATAATAAAAAATGCTTTTAAAAAGTGCTTCTCAAAACTGTATGTGAAGTGACTTTCTAGTGTACTTATTTTTAAGTAATTTTTTTTTTTGGAATCAGTAGTGTATTCACATGGTTCAAAATTTAAAGAGTTTAAAAGAGCATCCCCAAAAAAGACTCCCTTATGCCCTTTGCCTTTCCTTAAGGCAACCATTAGTTTTGTGTTTGTCTTTCTCAAGCTACCTATGTATTAAGTATATATACCGAGAGAATACATGTAGTATGTACGAACTGCCATACCACACCTATACTTTGCTTCTGCCAGAAATGATTTCTTTACTTTTAATATCTACATTGAGTCTTATTAAATTTGTATATTCCACAGTATTTATCTTCAATGTTTTGCTTTATGTTGTGCCAAGTAAGTTCTTTTTTTCTCACTATGATCTATTAAAATTTTTTTATTTTTTTTAATTGATTTCAGAGAGGAAGGGTGAGGGAGTGATAGACACATCAGTAATGAGAGAGAATCATTGATTGGACACCTCTTGCATGCCTCACATTGGGATTGAGCCTGGGCATATGCCCCTACCACGAATCAAACTGTGATCTCCTGGTTCATAGGTCAACACTCAACCACTGAGCTATGCTGGCTGGGCAAGAAATACTGTTTTTAAGTCATAGTTCTCGCCTTTCCCCCCCCCCCCCCCCTTTTTTTTTTTTAGGAAGATTATCTTAGTTTGAGGAGTTTGTTGGTATCTAACAGTTCTTTCTTTTTCACATTTTTGCCTGAAGGCGCTTGACTTTGGCAGATATTGAGAGAATTGCTCCGTTGGCTGAGGGGGCCTTACCTTACAACCTGGCAGAACTTCAGAGACAGGTAGGTGTCTCATAAATAGAATCACCTTAAAAAGTGCTGGAGTTGTATGTGCATGACAACCCAGAGCTTCTGAATGGTGAAATTTAAAAACAATTTACCAGAAAGAGATTTTACTTAGTTCAAAGATTACCTTTACAGAATTGTGACCCTCTCCTATTTATATGGAGTAACTGATTTATGTTTGTGACTTGTCTTTTAGCTTATTAACATAAGGAAAATAAGAGTGCAAACATATATGGGCTTGCCTTTCTTCTCCATAGAATTAGCAGTCTGAATTTGTCTAGTGACATTTAAAGATTGGTGTTTATTTTGTATCATTAAATTGATATTTATAAGGTTTTCAAAATACAAAAATTCCTTTAATAAATCTTTCACTGATATTATACCTTACAGATTACAATGTAGCACAGGAAAACTAACTAATGAATTAGACAGAAAACCTTGATTGTTAAATTTTTGATAAAATATTAGTTATTTAAAATATTAAGGATGATTAAATTAATAGCTCTGAGTCCTATAAAGTTAAGATAGCCCCATTTCTGATTTCAAAAATACTATCTTAGTAGGAAAATAAACCTCATGATATTACCTTGAAGAATGAAATAGAACATTTTTTAAATAAGTACTGTTTTAAATTGAAACTCCCATTTCTGTCGCAGTTGGAGGAAGCCTCAGTTATGGTGACTGTCACATGGCTTTGTATGGGGAGTGAGATAAACAGGGCTATTGCTTGTCCTCCTGGTATTTCCCTGCTCTCACAGACATGAGACCTGTGTCCCTGATACTGTCCGAGATTGTGATGCCCTATGAGGTTAGGCAACATAGGGACGACATGGGGGCAAAGAAGACAGAAGGCAAGGAAGGAGGGAATAAAGAAGCTGAATGGGCAGCCACAAAAAGAGCCCGAGTCCACCTGCTTTTAGTGCTGCCACTCTGGTGAACTAGCCTGCGTGCTAAGTGAAAGATCAAGGCTTATAAGTGTGGTACGCTGGGGAGTTTTTGGTAGGAGATCTTACTTCTACTTGAGCTCCATGAAATGATGGTTCAGCCTCTGAAATGAATTAGAATTTCCAGATCTACTTTGTATAATAAACAAGAACTTTTATATTTTGCTGAGTAAATTGAAAATGGAAAGTAATACTTTTATACTTATACTTTATGTTAATACTTTGTTTGCTTGGCGTGTAATAGAGCTTCCTGCAGATTGAAATATATCTGTGACCCATTGCAATTTAGCTTTTTTAGTAACAAAAACCCCTTATCCGCTGCTGTTGAAGTTTATTTCTATTATAAGTTCTCAGATTCTTTAAAAAAAAAATAGATGAATTTATTTCAATTCATTGATTTATAATGAAATTTAACAAAATTATTAAAAAGTGAGATATTGAAATATTTAAACTAAAGAGCTCTTATTGAATTTAATTTTATAGTGTACATTTATAAAAATTTTCCTTGAAGTTTGAAAAATTGCATTGCAAAAGGAGCTATTTTTCAGTGTTACATAGCTATTAATATAGCTTTCCCTGAGGGTGTTCTTATATTTATAATTATGGAATATTTCATTTAGCTTATTAAAGACAGTGTAATGAGTTTAAAAATCCCAACTTATTCCTCCTTTCTCAGCCTTTCTGCTGCTCTTACTTTTCTTTTTTTCTTTTTTTAATATATTTTTATTGATTTTTTACAGAGAGGAAGGGAGAGAGATAGAGAGCTAGAAACGTCGATGAGAGAGAAACATCAACCAGCTACCTCTTGCACACCCCCTACCAGGGATGTGCCCGCAACCAACATACATGCCCTTGACCGGAATCGAACCCGGGACCTTTCAGTCCGCAGACCGACGCTCTACCACTGAGCCAAACTGGTTTTGGCTGCTCTTACTTTTCATTTTACCTGACTCTCTTGCCTCTAGCAATTTTCCTACAAGTCATATCTGAAAGCTGTTTTTGTAATCTCTGGCACCCTAATCTTAACTTCTTCATATTTCTTAGTCTTTAGGAAGGTGATACAATTTTGCTATTGTTGTAATTTTTCTTATAGACAGATTGGAAGGTGATTTGCCTGCCTTCAGTGGGCAGCGCTGATGCTTTTATGCAGGCATGAAGGCCTCAAAGGTCTTGTTTGATGCTAGCAAATGAATAGTGATAAAAATCGCCACCTTTTCCTCTTTTCCTGGTTTCTGATTGACATCCAGAATGGTGCTAGAGTGTCTGCTCTGCCTTTTCTCTAACCAGTAGGATGGCACAGGGGTCTGGAATCTCCTGAGAATAGGCAGAGCTCCGGGCTATTCTTACATTGTCCCCAAAGGAAGAGCCCCAGAGCGTTTTCCCTCTCCCATATCAGGTAGGTTGAGTAGCCTTATTGCTGAGGTTTAGAAATAGAGAAATATATAAAAAATGAAAATTTCAAGTCTATTTTCCCTATAAATTATTGTTAAAACACCTCTTAAAAATAAAACTCAATAGAAGTAATAAGTAATTTTTAGACTTTTATAGTCATATTTATGAAGGTTTAAAAGGGATTAAAATTAATGTCCCTACTTACATATATTGTGAAATTTGGCCTTTATTATTCTTGGGATCTGCTACATGTTTCTGTGGACCTCAGTTTCTCCTTCAAATATTTTCAAAATTGCATCGATTTCTGCATTCTGCAAAAATAGTGTGAATCTATCGATTTTTATTTTCTTAATTCTAAATGACAGTATCCTTTGAATACATTAATTATTTACATTTCATACATACTCTGTTGCCCTATAGATATCTACTTGAAACTTAGATATAAAATAGGAGGAATGGGCCTGTCCAGTGTGGCTCAGTGGTTGAGCATCAACCTATGAACCAGTGGGTCACAGTTAGATTCCCTGCCGGAGCTGCAGGCTCGATCCCCAGAAGGGAGCATGCAGGAGGCAGCCGATCAATGATTCTCTCTTCATTGATATTTTTGTCTTTCTCTACAGGGAGGGATAATTAGAAAAATCGATGAGAGAGAAACATCGATCAGCTGTCTCCATCCATGGTACATGCCCTTGACTGGAATCCAACCTGGGACCCTTGAGTCGCAGGCTGACGCTCTATCCACCAAGTCAAATTGGTTAGGGCATCCCACTTTTATTTTGCTTTGAAAAAAACAATCTTTTTAGACATCACCTTCAAGATCATAATCATAACCTTAAGGGAAAGAGCACCTTTTCCTTTGGCCCATTTGCTCACGGTAGGCAATCTTCTTAGTGCTAAGTATTTTCTTTCAGCCTAAATGCTAAAAATTCTGTACACAGCCATTAATAGGGATGACAGCTACAGTAGCATTCTACTTATGAATATTCATGATGTGAAATCCATAGCATTAATTACATTAATTTACATACCTGAATAAAAGTGAACCATAAGTTATAGTGATAGCTGGGCCCAAAAAAGAACCCTTAGTAACCATATAGTGCTTGCTTTATTTTTTTATTTTTTAAGTGCTATTTAATAAGGGCGGAGGCAACATTTCTTTCAAAAGGCATTTGGGCATTTATAGTTAGAGTTGTTTTCAGCCAAGAATTAAAGCATAGTATAATCCTTCAGTTTTCATAGGATTTTGTAGGGCTTATAAACATTTTTTAAAGGACAAGAGTATAAAGAAAACTTCTATAGTTGAATACAGGTAAAACCTTTTATATGAAAAAGGGAATTAGTGGTTACTTGTCTCTTATTTGTGATTATAGCCCTTTTGTTCTATGAGTTTTTAATTCACCATATTCTGTTGAGAGGAGACATGATTGAAAATGATTCATAATACGTAAGAATGAGGTTTATTTTCACCCAGTTTTGTTATTGAGAAATTCAAATTTTGGGGAATAGTTAAAAACATATGCTATATTTTTAATAAGTAGCATAACAACCACATTGATTTTAAAATATTATAAAATTTATTGTATATTAAAATATTATTAAATTTCTTCAAGCAATATGATATTAAACGTCATCTTTACCTTGAAGATACAGACTGCATTTGTTTTCAATTATATTTTGTCTTTGAAATAGAGTATTAGAAATAACTGGTTAGCCTGGCTCATATGGTTCAGGTCACAGTTCAATTCCCAGTCAGGGCACATGCCTTAGTTTGTGAGCTCGATCCCCAGCAGGGAGCGGGTGCGCAGGAGGCAGCTTATCAATGATTCTCTCTCATCATTGATGTTTTTGTCACTTTCCCTTCTTTCTGAAATCAATAAAAATATATATATTTAAAAACATCAAGAGATAATAGGTTAACCTTACTGTGTTTAGTCAACATATAAAAAAATCAACTGAAGCATATTCAGAGATTGTACAGATGAAAGCAAGTCAGAGTAGACTAGTTTACTTTTTTCCTTCTAGATTTTAGGCATGGATTCCCTCTCCATTAAATTATTCTAATAAATGTCTAAACTTTTTTTTATTATGCTGTTTTAAAAACCTCATTTCAAGTTAATATTTTTCATTTTCTTTGTAATAAAGCAAGTGTTTTATAGCTTCATTTCAGACTGTTCAATATCTGCTCTTTCATAATGAAAACATTAAAGAACAAGACAGATACAATAATATAGGCAAATTATTTCAAATTCTTTATGCTGCAGGACATCAAGGAAATAGCATTCTGAATCATAACAGGGTTCCCCCTTTGCTTTATTATCATCATAGATTTTATGTTAGAACCATAAATGTGGCTAGGACAGTGGTTCTCAACCTGACTACATAGCAGAATAATTTTTTTTTAAAAATATATTTTATTGATTTTTCACAGAGAGGAAGAGAGAGGGATAGAGAGCCAGAAACATCGATGAGAGAGAATCATCGACCAGCTGCCTCCTGCACACCCCCCACTGGGGATGTGCCCGCAACCAAGGTATAATACATGCCCTTGACCGGAATCGAACCCGGGACCCTTCAGTCCGCAGGCCGACGCTCTATCCACTGAGCCACACCGGTGCCGGCGTAGCATAGCAGAATAATTTGAAACCTTTTAAAAATATATAAACCCTGGACCCTGGGGATTTATTTTTTTTAAAGCTCCTTAGGTATTTTCTTTATGCAGTTGAGGAATACATAGGTCTAGGATAGCAAATGCTCCATAGCTGAGGTAAAAAATACTACACTTATCTAGCAGTAGCCTCAGTGGTTGAGCTGCAAAGCCAGAAATAAGGCTCTGATTTTAGAAATAGTAGTTATTAAAGGTTTTCACTTCATCCCAAAAGAGAAGTCCCTTGACATTGTTTTGCATAAAATCCTAACAATTCTAATTATGTGATTTCTCCAGCCCTAATAGATGAGAGGTGGCAAAATCAAGCTAGGAGGCTGTTGGTAGAAGAGGTAATAGCTGTCAGGCATGGGCAGATAGCACAGACAGCTGTGTCAGATCTTAATGCAGTAAGTGACGGACATATAAATATGATGACCTCCAGTCATTAGAGATGGTAGATTATGATCAATAGTCTCTGACGAATCAAGATAGTGTTTGTACATTTTAGAAAGGTTTAAAGTTTTAACTTGGTTAATGTAAAGAAGGGGAGAAAGATGTCATACTTGAAATATTTATTCACTTCAGTAAAATGATAGTGTATTTCCCTATAGCAGCAGATAAATGAGGTATTAATAGGTTTGTAAAAAGAAAAATGTAAAAAAAAGTAATGGTGTCTCTTTGGCTGGATATGGTTTTTCAATGCCAATAATACAGATATACATTTTCAAATCTTAAAATAGCTATTGTGGCTTTTTTGGTTTGCTGTATGCTTTTCCATTTTTTTTATTTTTTTTAACATGTTTTCTTTTACCCCACAGCAATCTCATGGTTTAGGCAGGTCTGTCTGGCTCCAGGTTGCCGAGTCTGCTTACAGATTCACTCTGGGCTCAGTTGCTGGAGGTGAGTGATGTGTCTGTGTGCTTTTTCAAGCTTGTGATCATGTAATATTATCTCACTAGACTGGGACAGATCAGCAAAAGTGCACTTCATTGTTCCCGTGGGTCATGACTGCAGAGCCTTCTGAAGCATTTTTTATTTTTTTTTACCTCTGATCAGAGGACTTGTCATAGCATGGCCATAGCCCCTCTGGCTCCAGTCGGTCTTTAAGACAAAACCTCTGTCATAATGTGAAAATCTTGGATGCAGTGCTGCACTCACCTTAATTATACTGGTTAAAGCCAGTACAAAGCAGTGGAGAATAAGACTGTGTTTCTGGTGTTGGGAGTGAGGGAAGTTAGGAAATGAAGATTTGGGGTACAGATCCCAGAACCTTAGGAAATAAAACAACCTCTCAAAGTGATTCACTTTTGTTTCTCTACTTATTTCTTTTCCTCTTCCCTTTTACTAGTTGAAAACTCTCTGGACTTGTAGCTTATTTGCTAAAATGAACCTCCCCTCCCTGCTCCTGGACAAAATTTAATACTTTTGTGTGTGTTTTTTTCTTTCTGCTTAAATCTCTGCATAGAAATAGTGTAGAATCTAAAATTGCTTTGATGATAAAAACATATCACATGTGATTAAAAAAGTTATGATTTTTCAAAACAAGCCTGAACTGATGAAACTATTATTTTTTCTTTTCAGTCTCAGCTTTAGAAGTTGCAAAGCATGTTTTGGTTTTCAACAATTGAAAAATATAATGTTCTAGTTCCTGTTACACATTTTTTAGACCCTGAGAAATCTAAAGCCTGGCCTTTTTTTAAATTAAATTTTTATTAATTTTATTTTACTGTTTAAAGTATTACATATAGTAGTACATCTATCTTCTTTTTTCCCCCCATTGACCTTCCCCCAGCTTTCCCTACCCCTTGTCACATGCCCTCATCCCACCCCAAAGCACTTGAATGCATGCATATAAGCACAATCAATGGACACAAGGCACTGTTTAAAAAAAAAAAAAAATCTGTATGTAGGATTATATTGAGATTTGGTTTCAGTATTATGGTTGTAACTAAGCTTAATATACCAAAATACTTTAGTAAACTAAAATTTTAAATTATAGTCACTTATGTGTGTGTGTGTGTGTCTGTGTGTGTGTGTGTGTGTATATATAGTCATTTTAAGGAGTAACTGGTATATTTAAGCATTTAATGGGAAATATCAAGCAATATGTTGTTTTAAAAAATTCTTACATATAATAGTTTAATGTTATAGAAAATTGAGTGTTGATTGTTTAATGTTGGTGATGACTTGAAAACCCACTGCAGTTGTTCCCTGAAGCAGCTGTATTTATGGATCCAGTGGTTGCTAGCCTGTGTGGTTCAGCTGTGTATGGGAGGAAAAATAACAGTCTCTTGTGAGAAAAGATATTGTTTTATTTTCTAGTCCTTTGTGATAAGATTTGTTGTCCTCGTAGAGTCTCCATTTAATTGTGCTCTCTTTTATGTCTCAAAATTCTTTTATTTGTAGCTGTGGGAGCCACTGCAGTATATCCTATAGATCTGGTGAAGACCCGCATGCAAAACCAGCGTGGCACTGGCTCTGTGGTGGGAGAGCTGATGTACAAAAACAGCTTTGACTGTTTTAAGAAAGTCTTGCGTTATGAGGGCTTCTTTGGACTCTATCGGGGTGAGTAAGCAAATCTCAGCTGAAGAAGTTAGTGATTTTTATCTTACCAGAAGCAGGTTTTAACTCACTTGTTATGAAAACCAAAGTGTGGCCTGCCCAGACTAGAGTTGTTTTTCTCCTTTTGTATTCCCATTGTTCATTTCTCTTTTTACATTTTTGTTGATAACTAATAATAGTAGTCTTCAAACAAGGTCTTCATTTCTTCTTCTCACTATTCCTATTTCTCGGAATCCAAATCATGTTTGTCCTATTATGGGTCTGTGGTCACTGTGCTTTACAAACTAAGGCACATGTCTGCAGGTGGAATACAGTGGTGATGGCTAAGAAATAGAGAGCTTTTTTTCCTCAAAGAGTGAGAGAGGAGAAATACGCCTCTTCTCTGAAGTAGAAGCCAGGCTGCCACCTGGAGGTAAGTTTACCATCTATCCACTTGTTTCAACTGAAAGAAATATCCAATGTTTTTGTCTCCTCCACGGAGACCATTCATAGGTCTTTTTCACAGAGTCATCTGAAGTTTAACAAAGAAAAGAAATCCTTTTGGCTCCAAGTCTCATTTTTGTTCCTTTCCTCCCTATAGTTCAGAGGCACTGAGTGAAAGCAGAGAGGTTTTCTTTTGCAGGAAACGTTACCACCACCTCTAGGCTGAGCACGGTGCTGTTGGCCTAGAGGCAGCAGCCCCATGCGGAATTCTCTTCACCCCATCGGCTTTGTAAAAACTTGTTCTCTTTGGAGAGGGAATGACTTTCATGTGCATGTTTTCACATTAGAATTTAGGGTTTCCTTTGGGAAGGAGATTAAATTTTTAATCCCTTTGGGCGCCACTTGCAATTCTTTGAAAATACACTCTATATGCCTAAGTCCAGGGCATTTATGTAATTTACTGTACTTGTTTATTTGCACACACAGTCTCATTAATCCCTTGCTGATTCTGAGCTCTGTTGAACTGTTTGGCCTCGAACCTCTTCCTTGGAAAGAAAGGCCAGGCCAAACAAAGATTTATGTTCATGGACAGGAGAAAAACACCTCTGGTTAGCATCATGTACAGACTTTGAGTGAAAAATCTTGCTCTGATATATTTATGTGTGAAAGAGAGGGTCAGGAAGATGTTCATTTTTGGCATTATAAGAAAGTTTTCTGAATAAGAGAGTGTTCTGAAAACTAGGCTCAAATACCCTGTTCTGAGAATGAGTGTAATTAATTTTGCTCAAATACTTAAACCTCTAGCCTCTCTAAATTCTCGATGTATATAGCAAGTATCCTGTGGAAGACTTGTGCATTGTCTAGAATCCAGATCTGTGCATGCGAATGCTTGTTTTAAACTGTATTAAACCCTGCACACCTACATACTATTTAACAGGGAATCTGAGGATTGAATGGTACTTATTTCTTTGACATTTTCAACCCTTTTTTGTTGAATAATGACCTTCCTTCTTGGGATACTTATAAAGAGGATGTCCTGTATTAAAAGGAACCTAGATATATACTAACAGTTTTGCCTTCTCGATGGATGCTTACTGAAGATTTCATTTGTGAGAGATGTCATGTTAATTAAATGAGTCAAATATATCAAGTTGTATGGGGGAGGAAGTAGTGGGGTTGTTAGTTTTATTCAGAATACGAGCTGATAAAATCAGTCCTTTAAATGAGAGACTCTTGTATTAGGGAGAAGATTGTAGGAATCCTGTATGTGAACACTATGATTATTGAGATTGTCATATATTGCTTAGAACTGGTCCATTATTCTGTCAGATGATTGACAAAATTGTTGACAGATAAGCCTACATTTCATTGCATGCAACAATGATAAAATGACATAAATCAGTACTTTATTAAAATTCCATGAGCCTTATTGAGGCTAGTTGTAAAACAAATACACATGCTGACATAGTTGCATGGGAGTCAGACTAAAAGTAATAGGGTTTGGTAATCATGAGGGTTAGAAAGTTAAGACTGCCATCTGCTGATTTATTCTTTTAAATCAGTCTGCAATCCATTAAAGGTGTGTGCAGATTTGTGTTTGTCATTGATAATTCAGTTTGACTGACAGTAGCCATATGTATGATTACTTGCTGGCTCTCAACTCATAGAAAATCACTCAGCAGTGTCCTCAAAGTAGGCTTAAGATCAGCAGTGAGCATGCAAACACATACATAACTACCCCTTGGCTGGGTGATTTAAAGGATATAAAATGTTTATTGTTAGCATCTTTAAAAATCTATGCAAAAAATGTATGCTAACAATTTGGGTAATCTGTGTGCTTTAGAAAGCTGAGCCCTGTGAATATCTACAGATGTTGAATTGTTTATGTATATTTTTCTTTTCCAGTTTGCAGCCAGCCTGGGAAATTTAACTTTCTAAGAATAATAATTTCCTTTATTTTAAGAGGATTCTTTCAAAATGTCTTTAGTTTGACATATATTAGTAAATAAGAATACAGTAGGCATGTGTTTTTGTAGATGATACTGATTAAATGATACATAAAACTGTTTTTCTGTGCAGTTTTGGCTTCCCTTTAAATAAATGAGTACTGAATTCTAGGCTTCTCTAAAGAGAAAATATGGGAGTTGGTATTCTATAATGACCAAGCCACTGTACGCTGTTCCATAGGTAGCATCATTTGTGGCAAAATCTGGGTTTACTTAACAGCTTTGCAGAGCTTTTCCAAGCATACAACATTGGCTTTTCTAAAATGTCTGTTTGTATGCCATTGGTTGTAAAGGGAGGGGATTTTGTTACATTGTTGTTGGCAGTGTTCCAGTATAGAGAAGATCCAGAGGCTCCGTTCCTTCCTCATGCGCTTTTTGGGAGGTGTTAGATAACTAGGCTTTAAAGGAAGCATGCTTAATAGAAGGATTTACAGTTTCAAGAAAGCATAACATTACATTTGACACAAATAATTATTATATACATATACAGAGTTTTTAGGATAATCCATTTTCCCCATTTTATTAAAAACCCTGAAGTGTTCTATGGGTAAGTAACATGGAGAAAACCATTTCTCTTGGGGCTTGTTTATTCATGTCTAGTACATCTATATTGCTAACAATTCTTTCCATTTACCCAGGCCTGATACCACAACTTATAGGGGTTGCTCCAGAAAAGGCTATTAAACTGACCGTAAGTTTTTTTCCATTAAATTTATTGTTGTCTATTTAAATTATCCTTAGAGACTGACACACTATCAAGGCATTTGTAAAATTTTAAACTTATATGTAGACATTTGATAATTTTTCATCTTATCAGACAAATATTTTGCTGATTTGTAAAACCAATAACATATTAGTAGAGGAAATTATGGTTAACTGATGTTAATTCTGATTAACTGATGTTCTCTTTCTAATTAGGTTAATGATTTTGTTCGGGACAAATTCACCAAAAGAGATGGTTCCATTCCACTTTTTGCAGAAATCCTTGCCGGAGGTTGTGTATGTATTAATACTAGACATTTTTCATGGCAAATATGTTCCTTTAACTTTCTTGCACATGAGATATAATATCTGATATTCCCTCTGAACTCAAGGGATTCTAAGCAGATTTTCTCAGTGATCATATGGGTTGACTTTTAAATTTCATTGCATAGTCTAACTGGTTTTAAGTGCAGAAAACAGGTAGTGTTTTGTCAGCTCAGTCTCTTAAAAGCTCCTGAAACATTACCTTTCACATTTTTTGAAGTTCTAATTCTGATTCTTCTTAAATATCACAGTAAATAGTAGTAGTGGAGAGAGTTACCATACATTTATATTGACTGTTACTGTAAGTATGAGATGATGGATTAATTTGGCCATTATATTTTAGGTGTAGGACTGAATAAGCCACTGTGGTATACTTATAATTGTTCTTTAGGGGCCAGAGGATACAGCAAACAACCATAACTATGTTGAGGTTGTGAACAGTTCTGAATGCAGAGGTTCAGATTATATTTACTTAGCGAGTGCACAAAGATTTCTAAAGTGGGAGTGTGACCTTGGATTTAGACCAATTCTCAAATCTAAGAATGCAGCTAAACTAATTTTGTGGTGTTCATTTCACATTTGGTAATACATTATGTGATTTGTTTAAGACACACTTAGTCCATTTTGTCCCCAAAACCCTTAATAACTTTCAATTGAATTAGCTGAAAATCTTGGCTAAACCCTCCTCAGCTGCCTGTGGAACCTGAGGTGATGAGGTCACTGACCTTTGTAGTTTTTAATTCAGAGAACATGCCCTGAGGGTCAGAGAGAGGCTGCTCTGGATTCTCCTTGATGAGTTTTATCAGCCTGGCACATACGTGGGTCCTCACCTCTCTGCAACCAAAGTTCTTGTGGAAGAGGTGGCTTAGTGTGTGTGCACCTGCATGCATGCCCATGTTTAACATCTTTTCATGCATATGGCATTTATCTATCTGCTTTTGTCTATTTTCTTTGGAAAAATGTATGTAGAATTTTTTTCCAATTTTTTTTGCTGTTAATCCTCATCTGAGAATTTTTTTTTCTCCATTGATTTTTAGAGAGAGTGGAAGGGAAAGGGAGAGACAGAAACATTTATGTGAGAGAGACATATCGATTGCTTACCTCTCACATCTGCCCCAATCTAGACCAGGGATCGAGCCTGCAACTGAAATGCATGCCCTTGATTGGAATTAAACCCAAGACCCTTCAGTTCTTGGGCCAATGCTCTGACCACCTAGCCAAACCAGATAGGGCTCTTTGTCCATTTTTAATTGGGTTGTCTTTTATTATTGAGTTACAAGATTTCTTTTTATATCTAGACCTCAGAACAGATTTTTCCCCCCAAATATTTTTGTACTTTCTTGACTGTGTCCTTTGAAGAATTGGACTTTGATTTTAAGGAAGTACAACTTATATTTTCTTTTGTTATTTGAGCTTTTGATGTTATATATTTAAGAAATCATTGCCTAGTCTAAGGTCATGATGATTTATACCTCTGTTTTCTTCTAAGAGTTATAGTTTTAGCTCTTACATTTAGGCCTTTGAGCCTATATACCACTAGAGAACTGGTGCACAAATTCATGCACAGGTGGGGTCCCTGTGCATGAATTTGTGCACCAGGGCTGGGCCAATTGGGCCCTGCCGGCAGGAGGAGGGAGAGATGGGGAGGGGGATCCTGGCTGATCAGGGCCTGCTGGCAAGTGGGGAGGAACAGGGTGCGGCAGGTTGGCCACCAACCCCAAGGAGGGAGCCGGCCCTCGGCCCCCTGGGAAAGGGGTCGCATTCACAGCCACCCACCCCCAGTTCCCTGTCCTAACTTGGGGCCCTAAGGCCCCAGTGGAGTCAGGAGAGAAGGCAGCAGTAGCTGGACTGGGTGTGGAAGGAAAGGATGCCAACGCCGCTGGCCAGCCATGGGAGGTTGGCTGTGGGAGTGCACTGACAACCAGGGGCAGTGTTGAGTGTCTGCCCCCTGGTGGTCATTGCATGTCATAGCAATTGGTCAACAAATAGTTCTGGTCCTTTGGTAGTGACAGTTGCTTAAGCTTTTACAGACAGTCCTTGGGTTATGTTGGTCTTGATGTCCGTCGTTTTGTGGTTATGTCACTATCTCCCACTTATTTATTTATTTATTTAAAAAAAAGTTCTTTCATTTTGATGTATGTACATATGTGCTTTATGTTTTTTATTATTTATTTTCCACAAGTAAAGTTCAGGAATTGTTATCTTTTTTAAAAATGTTTTTTACTGTTTCACTTCATTACTGTTGTGTATGTGCTCCATGTGAGCGACATAGGTGCTTATCCAGGTGGATTTCGACTTATGTCGAAAATCACGTTACATCACACTGTAGGAACAGATCTCTAATGTAACCCGAGGACCTACTGTGCGTGTGTGTGTGTGTGTGTGTGTGTGTGTGTACTTTTCAACCTTAATTTTTTAGGGTATTTTGCCTTGACCAGAGATATCACTAAATGACAGTTCTTTATTGTCAACGTTTTGGTATATTTCCTTATAATATTTTTATATACACGCACACACATGCACACACACACACACACACACACACTCACACACACATATTCCTTTTTAAGCCAGATGGAAGTTTTGTTCACTCTGACTTTCTGATTGCAAATGAAAGCTTCTCTCTGTTTCTGAGGTCAGCAGAGAGTCACAATGGAATTTCTCACTCTAGAAATACAATATAACCTTTGGGAACAGGAGTATAAACAGAGTGCACATTTTCAAATTTTGAATCTTCATTGTGAACATTAAACTCTTGTTTTATGTCTATATCAAAACCTTCCCAAGAGACTGTCAAACACAGAGGGAAAGTAGGAGAGGGTGAGGGAAAGGAGGAGAGATCAACCAAAGGACTTGTATATAAAAATTTTAACATACCTAAATGTACATATATATATTAATTTAGGTATAATTAATGTACCAAAATGAACAGATCTTAGATGTCAGTCTTTTCAATGAGTTTTAACAATTGTATACGCCAATGAAGTCACCACCCAAGACAAGATAAAGAACATTTTACACCAGAAGATTCATTAATGCCTTTTTCCAGTTAATCACTTCTCCCCTCCCCCAGGTACCACTGTTCTGGTTTCTGCCACCAGTTTTGTTTCTTCTCAGATATCATATTCATTTTATTGTTGACAGAATTTTGCTTAACTGTATTTTTAAGTCATATGCTTTCATTTTTTATGAATGAATATCTAAGAGTGTAATAAAGTAGATGTATTTTCAATTTGGTTTTTTGAAATGGGTGGACCATTTTATGGTCTTACTAGAGGCCCAGTGCATGAAATTTGTGCACAGGTGGGGTCCCTAGGCCTGGCCAGTGATCAGGGCCTATTGGGGGCCATCTTGCCCAGTCCTGATCAGGGCTAGGCTGGGCTGGCTGCCAGATGGGGCCTGCTGGATAAGGAGAGGGACCATGGGAGGTTTGCCGGCCAGGGAGAGGGATCAGGAGAGGTTGGCTGGTCATGTGAGATTGGCTATGAGAGCGCACTGACCACTAGGGGGCAACTCCTGCATTAAGCGTCTGCCCCCTAGTGGTCAGTGCCCCCTAGTGGTCAGTGTGCATCATAGCGACTGGTCAACCGATCATTCAGTCATAATGGTCACTTAGGCTTTTATAAATAGAGATCAGTAGTATAGAGTATTCAATTACTGCACATCCTCATCAAAGTCACCAATATTTCATGTTCTTAGGTGGGTTTTAATTTTAGTCATTCTAATTGGTGGAAAATGATATCTTATTGTGGTTTTAATTTGCATTTCCCTAAAGCCTAAAGATATTAAGCATCCTTATATACATTTTTTTTTGTGTGTGTGAAGTATCTGTTCAGATCTTCTGCCTATTTTTCATTGTTATTCATATTTTTATTGTTGATTTATAGTTCTTTAATACATCATAGAGACAGTACTTTGCAAATATATGTGCTGTCAATATTCTTTCTAGTCTATGACTTGATTCTTAATTATCTCAATGGTGTGTATAGTGGTTAGATATATCTGTGAACTTAAGTGGAAAAAATGTAATATCTTTTCAAGTCAACAGAGCAGGAAGTTTGAAAGTTAAATGGACTGACCTATATTTTTTTTCTAAACATTTCTCTGGTATCTGTTTTAATGTTGTTAATTCTAAGTAGAGCACTTACACGACTGGTCCCATTACCTCTTTAGAAAATGTATACTTCTGAATGGATAGAAGTCATAAAACTCCAAATGTATTTACTGCTCAGCAAAGGGCTAGTATAAATCCATCACATTGCAGGTGTTTTCTTAGCCTTGTGTAAACTTAGCCTCTTGAAGAACTCACCCCTTCCCCTGGTATCTTGCTTTCAATTTGCACAGTGCTCTCAAATTAGTTGGTGCACGAGAGCTCTGTTAGGGAGATAAGGCAGTTGTTGGGATCTCTGTTGTCATATTAGGACACCAAGGTTATGACCTATCCAAGGTTACCAAATTAATGGCAATGTAGTTCAACAGGCTGGCAAACTTGGACTCTTTCCACTCTCTACTGCTTCTTCCTTTCATCCCACATGTCATGCACACACAACCCCATGCTGGGTGCAGCAAGAAGTCCACTTGGAGCTTTTACCAACCCTGGGAGCCAAGGTTTACAGCTGGCCAGCCTCCTATGCTGCATGCTCCTCAGCAAGCCGACCTCTCACATCTCTGAACAGTTTTTTGGAAATAGTTCCAGCTCCCATCCCAGGAATCCATGTCCCAGCTGTATGTTTGAATACTTATCTGAACACACATACCTATGCACACAAGTTGAAAGTCCATTTATGCCAAAGTGTCTTGTGATAGGTATATAGGAATTTTGATGCTTCCTTTTCCCTAGTTAGGAGTAGGTGTAGTTTTATCTATTCATATCCTAATACCCTGGCATATATCATCACTCAGCAGTGAGCAAATTGCAATTTATTCCCTTTATCACTGACCTAAACTATATTAGAAAGAACCATAGCATTACA